ATTGGTGTCATTCATCCCAAATGCTTTGAGTGAAGACTTCAAGATGTCCTTAAAGCGTTTCTTTTGCCCACCTTGAGAACATTTTCCATTTTGCAGCTCATAGAAAAGTTCATTTTGGGAGCCTGTGATCTAGCATGCGTGTCTCATGACCAGCCCAATGAATTTGATACTGCATCAGTAGAGTGTGGATGCTGGGCATGGCTGCTTTCTCAAGGACTATGGTATCAGGTACTTTGTCTTGCCATCTGATCTGCATTAGTTTTCTAAGGCAGACTGTGTGAAATTGGTTAAACTTTCTAGCCTGGCGCTGGTATACAGTCCATGTTTCGCATGGGTACAGCAGTGTAGTTAATACAACTGCTCTGTATACTTTAAACTTTGTCTGCAGGGTTATCTGTCTGTTCCAAACATTTTTGTACAATCTGCCAAAGGCAACGCTAGCCCTAAAGATCCTTGCAATTACTTCGTCATCAATTGTGGCGCTCTGTATGTGAATTTCCTGACAACGTTTAATCTGTAGCCATTCACTGTCATATTGGGCTCAAAGTATCTTTGCCCTAGGGCTGGCTGGTTCAAAACTACACTTTTATCTTTGTTAATGATGAGCCCAAAGTTTGTACAGGCATCACTGAATTTGTTGATGTTGTGCTGCATATCTTCTTCTGTGTTGGCATAAAGGGCACAATCGTCGGCAAACAGGAGCTCCCAGACGGTGTCTTATTTAGTTTTTTTTTTTTGCTTTCAGTCTCCTGAGGTTGAACAGCTTTCCATCCATGCGGTAATTTATGTCGATTCCAGTGCAATCATTTACAAAGGCATCAGTCAGCATGGCTGAAAGTAACAGACTGAACAGTGACGGTGCAAGCACGCTGCCCTGTTTGACTCTGTTTGTAACAGGAAAGGACTCTGACTGTTCGCCGTTATCCTGCACTCTTGCTTGCATGCCATCATGAAACTGATGCACTATCTGGATGAACTTGTGTGGGCAACCAAATTTCTCCATAATCCTCCAGAGTCCATCTCGATTTACTGTGTCAAATGCTTTCTTAAGATCAATAAAGGTGGAAAACATGTTCGAATTCTGTTCTTCACATTTCTCTTGCAGCTGTCTAGCAGCGAAAATCATATCAATAGTTCCACGATCTTTTCTAAAACCACACAGACTTTCAGGAAGGAGACTTTTGTCGAGATGAGCTGTGAGACGACCCAGAACAATCTTGACAAGAATCTTTCCGGCAACTGAAAGCAGTGAGATACCTCGGTGGTTATCACAGGACTGACGGTTTCCTTTACGTTTGTACAGGTGAATTATTACTGTGTCCTTAAGATCCTGTGGGATGGTCTCACTCTCCGAAATTCTTTGAAATATCTTGTGTAGCTGCTCAGTCAGAACTGGACCACCCACTTTGAAGACTTTAGCTGGAATAGCATCTGGACCAGGCGCCTTTCCATTGGAAAGATGATGTATAGCTTTTATGGTTTCTCTGTTGTAGGTTGATCTGCCAATGAATCCTTGATAGGAATCTGGGGCAGGCGTTTGATGGCTTCATCGTTTATGGATGATGTGTGGTTTAGTACGTAGTTAAAGTGTTCGACCCAGCGCTTGAGGATTTCTTTTTTGTCTTCGATAAGAGTCTTGCCGTCCGCACCAAAAAGGAGAGCAGAGACTGATGGGACTGGGCCATAGACTGCCTTTAGAGATTCATACATGTTTTTCATATCATGTCTGTTGGCAAAGTTCTGGATCTCGTCTCATGCTGGCAGCTACGTGCAGCCATAGGTGAGAGCTGAGTGTCTAAAAAGGACATATCAGCCTCCCCAACCAGAGGTACTACCAATAACTGACACCCCATAACCTCCACATACATACATGCATACACACAAATACACTCATACACTCATACACACAGTCACCCACACAGGCACACTCTCACAAACACACATTCTAAAACACACAACCATACAACCCAGACACACAAACACACACAGCTATACAGACACAAACACACACTCTAAGACACACACGCTCCTGTTTTCACTTTAACTGAGAAACTTTTGCATTTAATCATGCTTCTAACAAGATCAAGGGGAAGTAATCAGTATGCTTTCATTAGAATGTGTGGTGACTATAACGACTCTCAACCCTGTGCTGAGTGAGAGTGAACCCTGTTAACATCTGAGTCAGTGGTGGGCACTGAAACCTCAGCTCCCATTAAAGGGGTGTCATTTACATTACTGGTAGGAAAAACTAGTTGCCAGCTAGAGCTTGCTAATTTTTCTTTGTTAAAGAGTAATATCATGTGCAATCAATGCTGGCATTAGAGGTTAGAAATATAAACAAAAGTCCTGCTGTTAGAGCCTAGAAATATAAACAATATCCTGCCATTTGAGTTTAGGTGAGTAAACAATAGAAATCTTGCAGACAATAGACAACCAGTGTAGCTAGCTACATGATGTCTTCTTTCATTCCTAGCATGTCTGTGTTAATTGATGATATTGTGCTGCTAGTTATCATTTCTAGAATATGAATTATTGATAAATATTTACAATATAGATGATCCCATGTGGCCATCTTTCACAGTGTAGATTTCCAGTCATTTTCTAGAAGTCATGTCTTAGAAGAATCAATGTTTGCTAAACAGTGGCTTGGCAGGAAGGCTTGTCTGCATTTAGTCAGCTGCAAACAGCATTGTCTGTTTTGGTTTATTTGTTTTGTAAACATTCATTTTCATCACGTGTAAATGTCTCCATAAGTACTCTGGTCTCTTCCCTTACATCATACCGGGAGAATTTTGGCACAGCGCACAAGCTCTGTAGCTCAGGTGAAGATCCCAGTATGTGTATACAAGAACCACACATGCTGTAAATATCTTGTTATTTTTACTTCTACCTTGGCATCTTTGTCTGAGCAGTGGCCTGAGGAGCGGCTGGCCAGATGGTTGAAATGCTGGGCTGTCATGCCGGAGACTTGAGTTTGATCCCCACAAGGGATGGAGAATTTTTCTGTCTGGGGGTCACAATAAATATTCTAATCTGCACTGTTTGTAGTGTGACCTTAACTAGCCATGTGACCTTCACTAGCCATGTGACCTATACCTCCAGGTAGTAAATGCTGGCAGTAGAGATGGCAATCTCTGCTACCTGAATTTTTTGGTTTCCAATTGGGAGGGATTTGTAGCATGCACAGGAGTCCTTTGTCTCGTGTATTCATGTCTAAACCACAGACTAAAGATCACATATCTCCTATGTGTAGTGTATCCATGTCTAAACCACAGGCTAAAGATCACATATCTCCTCTGTGTAGTGTATCCATGTCTAAACCACAGGCTGAAGATCACATATCTCCTATGTGTAGTGTATCAATGTCTTAGACACAGGCTAAAGATCACATATCTCCTATGTGTAGTGTATCCATGTCTAAACCACAGGCTGAAGATCACATATCTCCTATGTGTAGTGTATCCATGTCTAAACCACAGGCTGAAGATCACATATCTCCTATGTGTAGTGTATCCATGTCTAAACCACAGGCTAAAGATCACATATCTCCTATGTGTAGTGTATCCATGTCTAAACCACAGGCTGAAGATCACATATCTCCTATGTGTAGTGTATCAATGTCTTAGACACAGGCTAAAGATCACATATCTCCTATGTGTAGTGTATCCATGTCTAAACCACAGGCTGAAGATCACATATCTCCTATGTGTAGTGTATCCATGTCTAAACCACAGGCTGAAGATCACATATCTCCTTTGTGTAGTGTATCCATGTCTAAACCACAGGCTAAAGATCACATATCTCCTATGTGTAGTGTATCCATGTCTTAGACACAGGCTAAAGATCACCTGTCCCCTCTGTGTAGTGTATCAATGTCTAAACCACAGGCTGAAGATCACATATCTCCTATGTGTAGTGCATCCATGTCTTAGACACAGGCTAAAGATCACATTATCTCCTTTTTGTAGTGTATCAATGTCTAAACCATAGGCTAAAGATCACATATCTCCCCTGTATTCTGTATCAATGTCTAAGACACAGGCTAAAGATCACATTATCTCCTTTGTGTAGTGTATCTATATCTAAACCACTGGCTGAAGATCACAGAGCTCCTCTGTGTTGTGTAGCCATGTCTGAATCACTGTCTGAAGATCACAGGGGATTATACCGTCAGCTGTCTATTTGTGTACATATGCAAGTGTGCACCACCTCAGGTCTGCTAGAGCCAGAGACTAGTATGGCCATCTTGAACCCTCTGTATTCATTGTTGTGTTGCTTTTGACAGAACATGAATTACTTAAGAGTAAGAAAAGCTACAGTATGAAGAGTTACAATAACACGTCAGCGTACAAAACAAATGCAGTTCTCTACCCATATGAGACTCTGGCATTAATTAGCATTCAGCCTCACAGTAGCAGGAGTATTAGCAAGTATAATTGCTCCAATCTCCAGTGAAGCTAAATATCCCTGATTGGGGATTTCTGAGCAGTGTGATGGAGTTAATTGTTCAAGCCGTGACTCATTTTGTCTAGAGAACCATTGTTACCTACTACTTGTGCGCTCTTGCTGTGCTAGTTATAATAATAAAGTGAGTTCATTCAGTCAGTTTTTCATAATGAATTTAAAGTTGCTGCTGTTTATTTTTCCAGCTTCGAGGATGTGTTGTGATTATTTTTGTGTGTTTAAAAAAATAATACTTTTAACACATTATATATATATAGTTGGTTAAAGGCGCATGCTCCTTTGATGGCTTAAGAGCAGAAAAAAAGAATGTAGGTGTATGTGTGTTTAATCACTAGCTGATTTATTTTTTCAACAGAAGTAATTGTCATCAGCTAATTGTCCCTGATATTTATCTTCTGCAGCTTCCAGGGAGAAAGAGAATGTCACATGCTGTCAAGCGGAGATGATTTGGATCTTTAACTGTATAGTCCTAGCAAGAGGGCAATATTGCCTGATGGCTGCACTTGTGTAAATGTGCCTGGGATTAGGATAGTAAGATGGAGGTATGGGAAGTGCTGGTGGTTATTGTACTGCTGTCTGTTGGAGCTTTTAGCCTGGAGCTGGCGACCTATAGCACCAATACAACTCTCCATTCAGTGGTCATGATCCGGAAGCTCCACATGGTCTATGTGGGGGGCAATAATGCCTTGATACAATTGGATACTGACCTCAGACATGTCAGCACCCTCAAGATGGGTCCATTTCCTTATTCTCCCACTTGTGGACCCAGTGACACTTGTTCCGGTGGGACTCTTGAAGACAATGAGTTTAAGATACTTGAGGCTATTCAGGGGAAAAATTACCTCCTAGCCTGTGGGACCAGTCATCAGGGTACCTGCACTCTGCACACATTTAGTAATATCACCAACTATGTTCACGTCGGGGGAGATACTAAGGGCCATTTTGTGGGCAGCCGCAAGTCATCTATTGTGCATTATCTGCCACTAGGACAGACTGATTGCCTCTATGTTTTTCAAGAGTATGATGGCAGAGATTTGGCTTTTTCTCCTCAAGTGATGTCCTTGAGGGTTTTATCAACAGAGAATACTCCATATACCATGAAACTGCTTCGGAACACAACATCCAGCTCAGAGTTCTCAGCTCTGGATATTTGGTCAGACTACAAGCAGAAATATTTCATGCAGTTCGTGCACAGTTTTGAATACAACAAACAGCTCTATGTTGTCATGAACCAGCAGAAGAATATATCGCCGCAAGATTCCATCCGTATCAAAATTGGACGTTTGTGTTTGGGGCCAGATCAGGATGTCTTGCTACAGTCGTATGTGGAGTTGGAGCTGGAATGCAAGAAAGGAGATACCTTGTACAACTATGCTAGCTCAGCTTCCATGATGCATGACACTTTATTTATCTCTGCCTCACGCCTCCAAGGTTCCAGTGCCAAGGAAGTTGATCAGGCTGCAGGAAGTGTCTTGTGTGCTGTTGGTATGGACAGACTGCTAGACAGTTTCAGTGATCTGTATTTGATGTGCCTCGTATACCCTGACAACACAAAGGCATCCAAAGTGCACTGGATTCGGAACAAAAATTTTGAATGCAAACAAGTAGTAAGTGAATTGTGAATACTTCTTTTTTAAAGGTTTTGAGCTTATTGAGAAGCAGGTGCTAAAATAGGGGACCTCATATTCAGTGGGAAGGGGGATGGGGCTAGTGTTATCTCTGTGTGCAAATTCCCAGTCTACAGTTGACATAGCATGTGTTAGTCTTGCAGAATAGAAATGTTTGTGAGCTGCTGTTTAGTTTTGAAACATGGTCATCTTTGACTTGACAAGAGTTCACTGTTCATGAAAGTGCACTGATTATTCTTTGTGGTGCCATTGTGAACGTATGTGTTCTCTCATACTTGTCTATGTCACAGTGTTCTGTCATACCTGGGTGTAAATCAGAAAGCAAGAACAAGAAGAAGAAGACCTACCTGGGCATGTGACAGTGATCTCTCATACTTGGGTATGTGACAGTGTTCCCTCATTCTTGGGTCTGTGACAGTGTTCTCTCATACTTTGGTATGTGACAGTGTTCTCTCATTCTTGGATATGTGACAGTGTTCTCTCATTCTTGGATATGTGACAGTGTTCTCTCATTCTTGGATATGTGACAGTGTTCTCTCATTCTTGGATATGTGACAGTGTTCTCTCATTCTTGGATATGTGACAGTGTTCTCTCATTCTTGGATATGTGACAGTGTTCTCTCATTCTTGGATATGTGACAGTGTTCTCTCATACTTGGGTATGTGACAGTGTTCTCTCATTCTTGGATATGTGACAGTGTTCTCTCATTCTTGGGTATGTGACAGTGTTCTCTCATTCTTGGATATGTGACAGTGTTCTCTCATTCTTGGATATGTGACAGTGTTCTCTCATTCTTGGATATCTGACAGTGTTCTCTCATTCTTGGGTATGTGACAGTGTTCTCTCATACTTGGGTATGTGACAGTGTTCTCTCATACTTGGGTATGTGACAGTGTTCTCTCATACTTGGGTATGTGAAGTGTTCTCTTATACCTGGGTATGTGACAGTGTTTTCTCATACTTGGGTATGGGACAGTGTTCTCATATACCTGGGTATGGGACAGTGTTCTCTCATACTTGGGTATGGGACAGTGTTCTCTTATACCTGGGTATGTGACAGTGTTCTCTCATACCTGGGTATGTGACAGTGTTCTCTCATACTTGGGTATGTCCCTGTGTTCTCTCGTACATTGATATGTCCCAGTGTTCTTGTGATGCAGTTGTATCTGTCACATCTCCCAAGCTCATTCATATGTGCCTAATTCAGAACATAGTATATATGATAAGGTTCGTATACGTCTCTTGATTGTGTTTAACATGTAACCAATCTATTGATAACAAGTTTGTTTATTAAATAATATCATGTCAATTTAAGCAGAACGAAGATATTTCTTTTAAACAACAGTAGGAACATTTCAGTATATTGGCTATTGATCTGTGACGATAAGTTCCTTAATATCTCTTGATGATTCATAACTTCAATACATGTTGCTAGGACGTTACTTCAGCAGATTATTAACTATCTCTCTTAACGTCCAGTAGAAATCTCTCTTCTAGCGAAGCTTAACCAGGTTTACTATATCAACCTTCTACCCACAAGCATAAGTTCCTTGAATGCTCACTTAAGCATCCAGGCCCTGACTGTCCTTTCTCTCCTCCCCAAACCCATGTGATTTCTTCACCTGTTTTCTTGCATTTCCTCGTGTGGTTCATCAATCACCGCCTGTCACTTCTGTTCCATCTTATCATCCCCAGGTGGTCGTTTCGAATGTCCATCCGTGGTCCCTCTTGAGGCTATCGTCGGTCGTCTTATCTTCCTGACACCTGTTCTCTCTCTCTGTTCGGAGTGCATCTCCATGTGGTCCAGTGTTCTAACTAGTTTGCTGGCTTGCCTACTTATCATGCGTATACATCCGTCAATGTCAGATGTTGCGGCTTTATTTGGATAAATGTACTCTGTTCAACTCTCCTAACCCTATTTCACTACATTCTCTCATATGTGGGTATGTCACGGTGAGCTGGGGTTCTCTGTAGTCCACTGTAGTATGACCCTTTTGTTGATGATGACTTTACTGAGCGTTGTCCCAGCTTTAGCAGTGTCATGATTGAATCCATGGGACCTTATTGGTTGTACTTACTTCTTCTTCTTCACATTCCCTGGCTGTAAACACCGGCAGGAAATTCTGAATTTTCGTCCACCTCTGGACTTTGGCCTTGTTCCAGAACCTGAATGTTGCGTGAGCATCGGTTTAACAGATCTGGCTTATTTGTAAGCAGACTGCTGGTTCCTTGCTTCTCAGGCAAAAGCACTCCCACTTCAAATTAAGCTCCTAATTAGTCTACTCTTACAGCATTCGTGAAGGTTGGACTTTGAAATGCAAGTTTTCTGTGGAGCAAGTTACCTAGTCACAAACCAACCTTCCTTGGCTGCCTCTTTTGACATACTTCCTGTTAGGGTTGCTATTCTGTGCTTCATATATGGTTGCCAGTAAAAACTTTAGCTGTTGACCTACTTATCAACCAGTGTTGTTTTTTCCCCTCTAGGGAGAAGAGATAAATCTGCAGCCAGATTCTTGTGTGAAAGTGCAAGAGATTGGAATAAGAAGTTTAGTGCAAACACCAATGACAAATATCTTGGAGCTAGACACAATTGTGACAGTCGTCAAAACATACAAGGTGCTGAATGACACAAAGATGGTGCTGTTGTTGGGCGACCAGGGAGGTAACATCAGAAAGGTAATGGCTTCTCCATTTTTTTTTTTTTTATTGTAACCTTTTTCCGTTTTTGAGCATAGAAACTCAACCAGTTGGTGCCAGTCTGTCCTGTCTATTGCTGCCTCCCACAGCTGACCTGACTACTCTCCATAAACACATCTCTACCTACTCTCCATAAACTCAGCTCTGTCTCACATCTCCGTCTCACATCTCTGCCTACTCTTCATAAACTCATCTCTGTCTTACATCTCTGTCTCACATCTCTGCCTACTCTTCATAAACTCATCTCTGTCTTACATCTCTGTCTCACATCTCTACCTACTCTCTATAAACTCATCTCTGTCTCACATCTCTGCCTACTCTCCATAAACTCATCTCTGTCTCACATCTCTGTCTCACATCTCTACCTGCTCTCCATAAACTCATCTCTGTCTCACATCTCTGCCTACTCTCCATAAACTCATCTCTGTCTCACATCTCTGCCTACTCTCCACAGTCGCATCTCTGTCTCACATCTCTACCTACTCTCCATAAACTCATCTCTGTCTCACATCTCTACCTATTCTCCATAAACTCATCTCTGTCTCACATCTCTGCCTACTCTCCACAGTCGCATCTCTGTCTCACATATCTACCTACTCTCCATAAACTCATCTCTATCTCACATCTCTGCCTACTCTCCACAGTCGCATCTCTGTCTCACATCTCTACCTACTCTCCATAAACTCATCTCTGTCTCACATCTCTACCTACTCTCCATAAACTCATCTCTGTCTCACATCTTTGCCTACTCTCCACAGTCGCATCTCTGTCTCACATCTCTGCCTGCTCTCCATAAACTCATCTCTGTCTTACATCTCTGCCTACTCTCCATAAACTCAAATCTGTCTCACATCTCTGCCTACTCTCCATAAACTCATCTCTGTCTCACATCTCTGCCTGCTCTCCATAAACTCATCTCTGTCTCACATCTCTACCTGCTCTCCATAAACTCATCTCTGTCTCACATCTCTGCCTACTCTCCATAAACTCATCTCTGTCTCACATCTCTGCCTACTCTCCATAAACTCATCTCTGTCTCACATCTCTGCCTACTCTCCATAAACTCATCTCTGTCTCACATCTCTGCCTACTCTCCATAAACTCATCTCTGTCTCACATCTCTGCCTACTCTCCATAAACTCATCTCTGTCTCACATCTCTACCTGCTCTCCATAAACTCATCTCTGTCTTACATCTCTGTCATACATCTCTACCTGCTCTCCATAAACTCATCTCTGTCTCACATCTCTGCCTACTCTCCATAAACTCATCTCTGTCATACATTTCTACCTGCTCTCCATAAACTCATCTCTGTCTCACATCTCTACCTGCTCTCCATAAACTCATCTCTGTCTCACATCTCTGTCTACTCTCCATAAACTCATCTCTGTCTCACATCTCTGCCTAATCTCCATAAACTCATCTCTGTCTCACATCTCTACCTGCTCTCCATAAACTCATCTCTGTCATACATCTCTACCTGCTCTCCATAAACTCATCTCTGTCTCACATCTCTGCCTACTCTCCATAAACTCATCTCTGTCTCACATCTCTGCCTAATCTCCATAAACTCATCTCTGTCTCACATCTCTACCTGCTCTCCATAAACTCATCTCTGTCTCACATCTCTACCTGCCCTCCATAAACTCATCTCTGTCTCACATCTCTGCCTAATCTCCATAAACTCATCTCTGTCTCACATCTCTGCCTAATCTCCATAAACTCATCTCTGTCTCACATCTCTGCCTACTCTCCATAAACTCATCTCTGTCTCACATCTCTGCCTACTCTCCATAAACTCATCTCTGTCTCACATCTCTGCCTAATCTCCATAAACTCATCTCTGTCTTACATCTCTGCCTACTCTCCATAAACTCATGTCTGTTTCACATCTCTGCCTACTCTCCATAAACTCATCTCTGTCTTACATCTCTGCCTACACTCCATAAACTCATCTCTGTCTCACATCTCTGCCTACTCTCCATAAACTCATCTCTGTCTCACATCTCTGCCTACTCTCCATAAACTCATCTCTGTCTCACATCTCTGCCTACACTCCATAAACTCATCTCTGTCTCACATCTCTGCCTAATCTCCATAAACTCATCTCTGTCTCACATCTCTGCCTACTCTCCACAGTTGCATCTCTGTCTCACATCTCTGCCTAATCTCCATAAACTCATCTCTGTCTCACATCTCTGCCTACTCTCCATAAACTTATCTCTGTCTCACATCTCTACCTACCGTCCATAAAGTCATCTCTGTCTCACATCTCTACCTACCGTCCATAAACTCATCTCTGTCTCACATCTCTACCTACCGTCCATAAACTCATCTCTGTCTCACATCTCTGCCTACTCTCCACAGTCGCATCTCTGTCTCACATCTCTACCTACTGTCCATAAACTCATCTCTGTCTCACATCTCTGCCTACTCTCCATAAACTCATCTCTGTCTCACATCTCTACCTACTGTCCATAAACTCATCTCTGTCTCACATTTCTACCTACTCTCCATAAACTCATCTCTGTCTCACATCTCTGCCTACTCTCCATAAACTCATCTCTGTCTCACATCTCTGCCTACTCTCCATAAACTCATCTCTGTCTCACATTTCTGCCTACTCTCCATAAACTCATCTCTGTCACATCTCTGCCTACTCTCCATAAACTCATCTCTGTCTCACATCTTTAGTCTGTGTATATTTTCAGTCTCACTCTCATACTTTTGTCCACTAGGTTTCACTGAAAAGGCATACACTTCTCTGGTATCACTATCATTGGTTTGTTGTTTACATTTTTTTTTTTCATGTAATGCCTATGCTATCTGGCACCAGCATTTTTTCCTTAGCTCTTGAATTACTGAAAATGTATTTGTCTCTGTCATAGGTTCTGCATTAATAGATGTCATTCCATTTTAATTGTTATTTCCACAAGTGCCAGTTGTTTAATAGTTGTTGTTCAGTAGCACTTGTTTCTGCAGAATTCTTCTCCATGCAGAAGTAGTGATTTGGCATTAGAGTTAGATGTTAAAAGTTAAAAATGACTACTGTAAATTTACTAGTTCTATGAAAGCCCCTCTTGCCCTTTGTATTCTGATGTTGATATTGTTATCTGGTAAAGCATCTCTGTGTCGACATGACTATCTAAGTATGTTGTGGTTCTGTCTCTTGAAGTACATAGTGATTGTTATAATAATGTTATTGTAGCTTCCTTATTTCATATGTCTAAACTCACAGTTTAAAGGTTCATGCTGTAGGAGATTTTGCTGGTGGAGTGCCGATTTGCCTGCCACCTTTCCTTGGTAGAACATTCTGACAGTTGTCTCATGACCATTTTTACGAGAGTGGATTGACTCTAGCACTCCACTGGTCAGAACTTTTAATCCTGCCCAAGTTGGGATTATACATCTGCCCTGTAGCAACATACAGATGTGAGTCGTGGACTGTCTGCAATGTTTAAGACAAAAAAGTATGGGTATTTGAGTTGACATGGTAAAGAAAGATTCTCAGAATACTGTGGTCCAAAAAAAAGATTCTCAGAATACTGTGGTCCAAAAAAAGATTCTCAGAATACTGTGGTCCAAAAAGGAATATCGACATGCTAAAAGATCTGAACATCCAGGAATTGGCATATAAACATCATCTTGAAAATTGAAATATCCTGGCCATATCAAGTGACATGGTGGATTGGAGAGAAAAGTGGTGGATGGTATGGTACTAGGAAAGAGGGGCAGGGATCGATCAGCATGAAAGTGGGAACATGAAAAAAGAGACAACTTGATGACAAGAATGTGTGAGGCGGGAGAGCTGGTGATGGGAGTGATCATTTGGAAAGGCGCTGCTACAGGATGTTGGTGCTTGGGGTAGAACCCAGACCAGTGGTGTCTTTGTAGGGTTATTTATTACGCAACTTTTTCAGTTTCCACATACATCTTCATCTGTCTTCTTGTGCCTCTCTAGCTAATGCTTTTCTACATAAAGCTATTATTATCTATTTACACCCTTATCTTTTCATATGTCCCATGAATGGTAGTTGTCTTGTCATTGTGGTTTGAATGAGCTTTGTGATAACATCTACCTCACCATTTGATTTCTTGTTTCTATTCTCAACGTGCTTGTGAAAACCTCACATCTCCACATTCTTCACATTTTCAGTACTCAGTGTCCAACCTTCTCATTCATAAACAAGAACAGACCACACAGTACTTTTCCTTGAGCAAAATATTTTATTTCTCAAGAGGGCTTATCATTAAGTTTCAAAACTGAATCTTTTTGGGAGCAAATTGATAGACCTGTTGGTTAGTTGGTTTTATCTCCTTCACAATTGTGCCCTTCTAATTGTTATATTTATTATTTATATTATTTATAATATTTATAATGAATCATGAAGCAAATAAAAAGCTGACATGCTACACAAAGAGTTGTTTGCATTGTTCTGACAGTAATGTCTGGATTGACTGCCCCAGCGATGGGAAATGAGCATACTGATAAACTGGTTGCTACCACTTCTCTAGGAACTGAGACCTGGCAAGACTGATTCAGCAGAAGGTGTCCAGAGCATCTAAATTGTACTCTGCATATCAGTAGAAATATAGATATCTCAGTCAGCTTGCCAGTGATTCCACCAGCATGGGAATTCTTCATTGGCTACTTACTAATAAAGGGGCTGTGCACATGTGGCAGTGTTAAGAGTGCAGTGATGTCAACTTTTGTTTGATTCATTCATTACTGCAGGATCTGCTACTTTATGCTGTCAATCTGGTTTATTTTATAACAGGTTTATTATAACAAGCAAAAGACAAAGCAATATCTTCAATACAACCTCGGTCCAGACCCAATTGCTAGTGACATGGAGATTGATACTGAGGAAGATGTTGCTTATATTCTGACTGGTAATACTGTGAGTATTCACTGGGGTATTATTACATATCCCCTGTCATTAGATGTGTGGGAAGTTGGTTGTGGCAGAAGATGTTTCATTATAGTGAAGAAGTTGTTTCTGGCAGAAGGTGTTGATTATAATTATAGTGAAGTAGTTGTTTCTGGCAGAAGGTGTTGATTATAATTATAGTGAAGTAGTTGTTTGTGGCAGAAGGTGTTCATTATAATTATAGTGAAGTAGTTGTTTGTGGCAGAAGGTGTTGATTATAATTATAGTGAAGTAGTTGTTTCTGGCAGAAGGTGTTGATTATAATTATAGTGAAGTAGTTGTTTCTGGCAGAAGGTGTTGATTATAATTATAGTGAAGTAGTTGTTTCTGGCAGAAGGTGTTGATTATAATTATAGTGAAGTAGTTGTTTGTGGCAGAAGGTGTTCATTATAATTATAGTGAAGTAGTTGTTTGTGGCAGAAGGTGTTGATTATAATTATAGTGAAGTAGTTGTTTCTGGCAGAAGGTGTTGATTATAATTATAGTGAAGTAGTTGTTTCTGGCATAAGGTGTTGATTATAATTATAGTGAAGTAGTTTGTGGCAGAAGATGTTGATTATAATTATAGTGAAGTAGTTTCTGGCAGAAGATGTTTCATTATAGTGAAGTAGTTGTTTCTGGCAGAAGGTGTTGATTATAATTATAGTGAAGTAGTTGTTTCTGGCAGAAAGTGTTGATTATAATTATAGTGAAGTAGTTGTTTCTGGCAGAAGGTGTTGATTATAATTATAAGTAGTTTGTGGCAGAAGGTGTTGATTATAATTATAGTGAAGTAGTTGTTTGTGGCAGAAGGTGTTGATTATAATTATAGTGAAGTAGTTGTTTGTGGCAGAAGGTGTTCATTATAATTGTAGTGAAGAGAAGAACAGATGGGATTTAGGAGAAATAGAAGCTGCACAGATGCAATCTTCACACTTAAACAGTTAATAGAAAAGAACATTGAATACAATAAGAACTTATTTGTGGCCTTCGTAGACCAGGAGAAGGCATTTGACAGAGTCGACAGACAATTATTATGGAAACTAATGGCAAGATATGGAGTAAGCGAACACCTCTTCGAAGTGTGCAAAAGTTTATACAGGGATTGTAGAAGTGTAGTTAGAATAAATCAGGGAACATCTCATCCTTTCACAGTGACATCTGGAGTAAGACAGGGGTGTGTCTTATCACCACTGCTGTTAATCACCTACATCGACAGTATATGCAAGAATGCCAAGCCCATGAATGAAAATGTTAGTAAGATCAACGAATTACTCTTTGCAGATGACCAGGCCTTGATAGCAGATACAGCCATGAAATTGCAACATCTAACATCCATGAATGAAGAATGTAAAACAAATAATATGAGAATCAACACTGAAAAGACAGAAGTAATGTCAATAGGAAAAAAGAAGACAGATCTAAACATAGCAATAGAGAACAAAGGCATTAAATTGGCATCTGAGTTTAAATATCTTGGAACTACATTTACCGAAGATGGGAAATTGGATAAAGAAATTAACATTAGATGCAGTAAAGCAAACCAAGTATTGGGACAGCTAGACCCCCTCTTACAGAATAAAACAATCCTAATCAACACAAAGAGACATCTTATTCAAAGCATATTTATTCCAACTCTGTGCTACCAGTGCCAGACATGGTCACTCACAACAAACCATAAAAGAAAATTAGTAACCATGGAAATTAGATGTCTGAGAAGGGCTGTAGGAGTGACCATAAGAGATAAGATCAGGAATGAGATCATAAGAGAAAAAGTTGGCACAGAACCAATTCTAAATTACATACAAAGACAGCAAGTGAAATGGTTTGCCCACTTAGAGAGAATGCCTTGTGACACCATACCATACAAAGCATACATGGAAAGAGATGAAGGTCATAGAGCACGGGGTAGACCAATAACAAGATGGAAGGATAACATCAGAGAAGCTCTACAACAGCACGATGTGTCTATGGTCGAGGCGGCCAGAAGAGCCCGAAACAGAACCTTATATCTCCCCTGACACCCACAGCGGTAAAAGAAGAAGTGAAGAAGAAGAAGAAGTTGGTTGTGACAGAAATTGTTAATTATAATTGTAGTGAAGAAGTTGGTTGTGACAGAAATTGTTAATTATAATTGTAGTGAAGAAGTTGGTTGTGACAGAAATTGTTAATTATAATTGTAGTGAAGAAGTTGGTTGTGACAGAAATTGTTAATTATAATTGTAGTGAAGAAGTTGGTTGTGACAGAAATTTTTAATTATAATTGTAGTGAAGAAGTTGGTTGTGACAGAAATTGTTAATGATAATTATAGTGAAGAAGTTGGTTGTGACAGAAATTGTTAATGATAAATATAGTGAAGAAGTTGGGTTTGACAGAAGTGGTAATTGTAGCTATAATAAACATGTTGTTATAAACACAAGCACGCGCAATTCACTTCCTCATCCCATCTTTTCTCTTGGAAATGAATTCACTGAACATAAATGATGACTAGGCAGGTCAGTGAAGATGGAAAGAGAACAAAGATATACACAGATACAATTCGTATTGACTGAAGTTCTTATGGACAACAAACATCAAGAAGAAGTATCTTTAGCCTTTTCTTGTTTGTTGTTGTTGATTCTTCTTGAGCCTTCTTGTTTGATACTGATTCTTTTTTGAACATTCTTCTTGGTTGATCTTATTATTATTAATTCTTCTTGTTGTTTTAATCATTAATAAAGACTTGGGTGGAAACATTTGCTTGTGCCTGTTTATGCATTTCCCCTTATCCCCCCCCCCCCCCCCCCTCTTAGTGCCCCAATTTTAGTTTTAATTTAGTGAATTCCTTTCGTGACATTAGCTTGACTGCAGTCATGCCACCCCACTTTCAACACTTGTATGTTTACTGGGTACAGATCGTCAAATTCCCTGCCTGGTCCTGTGCCGTCCACTCAGAATGTGACCAATGTTTGATTAGTGACGACCCCATTGTCTGTGGCTGGTGTGAGGACACTTGCACAAGTCAACAAGAATGCCGTGATGCTGGGAAAAACTGGAGCTCAGGCTTGAGGGCCTCCTGCCCGCCAACAGTCAGAGATGTGAGTCAGCATGATGTGTGTCATCTCCATACATTATACTGAAATGTTACATCTTCCACTTCAGCATTCCAAGCCCTTGAGGTTCATTGCTGCAGATATCACCTGCCTCCATTCATCTCTCTGGTTGGCCTTCTCTTTCCAGTTGGTGCCACCAAGTGTTTGCAGGTCTGTCTGGACATTATCTCTCTATCTTCTTCTTGGTCTGCCTCGTGGTTTATGACCATTCATCTCCCTTGTGTATACAGTTTTTACTTCTCTGTCATCTGACATTCTTTCAATATACCCCAACCATTTCAGTCTATTAGCTCTCATGATGCCAGTGATCAGTGGTGATTTATACAGATTGTGAATTTAATTATTGCTTCTCACTCTCCATTCCCCACTGTTTGCATCTTTGATGGGTCCAAAGATTCATCGTACTTTTTGTTTTGTTTACTGTTGACATGTTTTCCAACCTTTCTGCAGGTGCCATAGTAATTAGTGCTCCTTTCTGCCACATTTGTGGTCCAGACTTATAATACATCTCTAGTTTATTATTTACATGCTGTTTAAGCTTCCTACAGGAACTATATTGCTATAGTGATTAGCACTTTTGTCTGCCACAATGGTGATTTAGGCTCAGAACACAGCTCTGGTTAACTATTGACATCCTGTTAAAGCTTCCTGCGGGAGCTATAGTGATTAGCACTTTTGTCTGCCACAATGGTGGTTTAGGCTCAGAACACAGCTCTGGTTAACTATTGACATCCTGTTGAATCTTCCTGCAAGAGCTATAGGGATTAGCACTTTTGTCTGCCACAATGGTGGTTTAGGCTCAGAACACAGCTCTGGTTAACTATTGACATCCTGTTGAATCTTCCTGCAAGAGCTATAGGGATTAACACTTTGGAAGGTTTCCAGAACAGACAGGAAACAGAGGCAGCGGCACTTGATTTAGAAGATGCTTACAACAGAGTCAGATACAGTATCTTGATAAAAGCACTTATGGAGAACGAAGTCTGTCTTTGGTTGGTGAACTGGATAGCAGCCGTTTTGTATACTCGCTGGGTAGCTTTTCACCTGGGTTCATAGACCTCTGAATTATGTATTATAGCTCCAGGACTGCCACAGGGATCTGCAATTTCACATGTACTGTTCAGTGTTTTTACGAGCAAGATTGCCTGTCTGGAAACACCTGGAGTTGGCAGATTATTTACATTTTCAGATTATGTTCTCATACATAGGAAGGAGAGAGATCGGAATCAAATAACTGAAGAGTTAAGATGACAGTAGATAGGGGGGATCGACCGTCCTGTGGTGTTCTTTGCACAACAGGATTCTTTGAGCTGATGTTCCCAGGCTCAAAATAAATGACAGGTACATCAAAAGAGACAGCAGACTGCAGTACCTGGAAATCACCTTTGACAGAAGTTTGTCTTTCAAGGATCACATAGAGGAAGTTGTGACGAAGGCTCAAAAAGGTCCTAATGCACTAAAGATTATGGCAGCAATGGACATGAAGAAGAGAATGCTGTTCACATTTTACCAGCAATTAATCATCTCAGAGATTGATGATGGATTGGGGTTACTCACTGTCTCCAAGAGTCAGCTAGAGAAACTGGAGCGCATACAGAATGAGTGTACAAGAGACACCCCAATTGTGTGGGTATGATACATCCTTGCACTACTGACTATTGGAGATAGGCTAAGGGTGCTGCAGGCTAAGTCATACCTCAGAGAAGCTGCAGACAAAGAACACCCTCTATATGAAGCTTTGGCTGCAGGCAAGGGACAGAGGCTGAAAAGGGGAAAATCAGAAGACACAATAAGACAAGGATGCATGCTGGAGAACATTGGGTGAGAAGAAGAGTGGGTTAGACTACCAGATGAAAAGTCTGACCTGTGTAGGGTTCTGATCACATTGGCCAGGAGTGCAGAGAGTAGCCAACGGGTGCTACGGAGGTGGAAGTCCTACAGTTAATTCACGACAGTTCACACCCCTGTGAACTGAATATCTATACAGATGGTTCGGTGTTGAGAGAAAAGAGAAGTGCCTGGGGGTTCGTAATGAAACCCCATTGAAAATCTTTAGTGCAAGACAGCCTAGCATACGACATGACAACATCTAGCATGAGAATGGAGGTGGAGGCGGTAACTGCAGCTCTCCAGTGGCTAGAGAACAAGATGGATACACATGTTGTAATTGTAACATGCTGAGAAAGGTGAAGACAGGGATACTTGGAGCAGAGTGGCAAGCTTCACTAGGTAGTGAGCATACTTTGGATCTTTTCTCCAGGATATGCCAGTGTGGTGGGTAATGAACAGGCAGACAGTGTGGTTGGATCTGCACCATTGTGGTGAATTGATACATGACAAGGCAGATTCCCTTTGGGAATAAGTAGCGGAATCAGTAAAGAAACCCTAGAGAGAATTGGGCACCTGGGTGTAACCAGAGGGTCTGGCTGGCTCCCTACACTCAGAGGAAAGGCAAGACAGACATATAACCAGATTGTGACCGGTACCAGCAGTATTGAAACTGTGCTCGGGCTGCTGAAGATGAGGATGGAGCACGCAATGGAATGCCCCGACTGCTGTGATGTGACCTCAACTTAAAAAAAAAAAAAAAAGTCAACTACAGTGAAGAGAATTGTCAGTTTTTCCAGTAAAACACAGTCATGAATGACAACATAAACATTGTGGCTAAAGAGCCTTTATCAGCATTTCTACTGTCTCTGTGTGGTTAGTGTTGATATAATGATTCTGATGAGCTCATGTATATGTGTGCAGCCTGTTGTTTGTTTATTTTGAGATAAGAGTGTTTTTAAGAGCTGTGTAGAGCCAGTCAGTTCTTAGGTGTGGGAGCGGACCATGGATAGCAGACTGGGAAATTATTTGACAGGGATGTATGGTATTATAGAAAGAATGATGGGAACATCATGGGTAGATATAAGCACACATACGTCTTGGCTATAATTCATGTGTGGGGTGTCATTAAAAATGGAAAAGGGGGGGGGGGGGGGAGAAGCATATCATGACAGTAGGAAAGTTCTGAGAGGAAGAGAATCTTCAGAGGGAGATAAAGAGAGAAGATGTAAGGCATTGTGGCATTTAGGAACTTCTGTAACAGGAATGATTGGCAGTAGACAGGAATGATTGGCAGTAGACAGGAATGATTGGCAGTAGACAGGAATGATTGGCAGTAGACAGGAATGATTGGCAGTAGACAGGAATGATTGGCAGTAGACAGGAATGATTGGCAGTAGACGGGAATGATTGGCAGTAGACAGGAATGATTGGCAGTAGACGGGAATGATTGGCAGTAGACGGGAATGATTGGCAGTAGACAGGAATGATTGGCAGTAGACGGGAATGATTGGCAGTAGATAGGAATGATTGGCAGTAGAGAGGAATGATTGGCATAGACAGGAATGATTGGCAGTAGATAGGAATGATTGATAGTAGACAGGAATGATTGGCAGTAGACGGGAATGATTGGCAGTAGATAGGAAAGAAGGCTGTGGACCAGCATCATACTGCATGAACTATAAGAAGCAGATGATGTTTACGCGATGGTTTTAATATGTAATGGTAAAAAAATGTCACCTTCCAGGCCAAAATAGGAGCCATAATAACCAGTCTCTCATGGGAACAGTCAGTAGAGATATGTCAAGTTTCTGCTGCATCTGAGGACTGAGCACACATGGGAATTCCCACTGTACAGTGAAGTTGATTGTCATAACATGATGCACAACAGTTTTAAGTATCACTTTGTTTACACTGTGGTTTGCAAGCCTGTTAGTTATACACTGTTTTTACCAGGCGTTGTTTGTGGACACTTATTGTATGTGATGTGTCTCTCATGGTCTAGTTGATGCCTCGGTGTGGGCCCACAGCAGGAGGAACCACTGTGACCATCCATGGGAAAAACTTTGGGGAACCCAGTGCCACTCACAAAGTCTGGATTGGCAGAGTTGTATGTGCTAAACAGAGCCACAATGCTACCAGGTGAGATCTACAAGCTGGGAGATCTTGTTTCAGTAACTCAGCTGGGGATTCAGCAGTCACAAGATGAATATTTTTTAACAGCAATAAGATTTCTGTTGTTGCTGTTATAAAATAGCCATATTGTGACTGCTGACTGTTATGGTTGCAGTGTTGGACGGATGATCATTATATGGACTTGACCAGTGTTTGAAGATCATTGTTGATGCATGAGCTAAGAGTTTGTTGCATTTATGAAACCTTTGACAGAATCACAAATCAGAAGGGGCAGCTATTGAGATGACATTATGTCATTAGAAAACCTGCCCACAGATACACATGTACAATTGAGATGACATTATGTCATTAGAAAACCTGCCCACAGATACACATGCACAATTGAGATGACATGATGTCATTAGAAAACCTGCCCACAGATACACATGCACATAGTCTACTGAAATATTGATAGCACTTGAGATTCTGATAAACTGTTGGTCATTAACGTTAGGTTACTAATGAAATACTGAAAATCAACTGGGAAAACCTGATCTTCCTTGATCTGATCCCAGCGCCTCTGCATGTGCTGTGCATGTACATTATAATATAGCCCTGGGAACATGTGAAGTCCTGTACATTGTAAAGTATAGGTCACAAATAATGACCAGTCATCATTTTAGACTGAAGACATGTGAAGTATAGGTCACAACCAATGACCAGTCATCATTTTAGACTGAAGACATGTAAAGTATGGGTCACAACCAATGACCAGTCATCATTTTAGACTGAAAAAATGTAAAGTATAGGTCACAACCAACGACCAGTCATCATTTTAGACTGAAGACATGTGAAGTATAGGTCACAACAAACCAGTCATCATTTTAGACTGAAGACATGTGAAGTACAGTTCACAACAAACCAGTCATCATTTTAGACTGAAGACATGTGAAGTATAGGTCACAACCAATGACCAGTCATCATTTTAGACTGAAGACATGTAAAGTATAGGTCACAAACAATGACCAGTCATCATTTTTGACTGAAGACATGTAAAGTATAGGTCACATCAAACCAGTCATCATTTTAGACTGAAGACATGTGAAGTATAGGTCACAACCAACGACCAGTCATCATTTTAGACTGAAGACATGTGAAGTATAGGTCACAAACAATGACCAGTCATCAATTTTGACTGAAGACATGTAAAGTATAGGTCACAAACAACCAGTCATCATTTAAGGCTGAAGAAATGTAAAGTATAGTTCACAACCAACGACCAGTCATCATTTTAGACTGAAGACATGTGAAGTATAGGTCACAACCAACGACCAGTTATCATTTTAGACTGAAGACATGTAAAGTATAGTTCACAACCAACGACCAGTCATCATTTTAGACTGAAGACATGTGAAGTATAGGTCACAACCAACCAGTCATCATTTTAGACTGAAGACATGTGAAGTATAGGTCACAACGAAGGACCAGTCATCATTTTAGGCTGAAGATATGTAAAGTGTAGGTCACAACCAACCAGTCATCATTTTAGACTGAAGACATGTGAAGTATAGGTCACAACCAACGACCAGTCATCATTTTAGACTGAAGATACGTAAAGTATAGATCACAACCAACGACCAGTTATCATTTTAGACTGAAGACATGTGAAGTATAGTCACAACCAACGACCAGTCATCATTTTAGGCTGAAGATATGTAAAGTGTAGGTCACAACCAACCAGTCATCATTTTAGACTGAAGACATGTGAAGTATAGGTCACAACCAACGACCAGTCATCATTTTAGACTGAAGATACGTAAAGTATAGATCACAACCAACAACCAGTCATCATTTTAGACTGAAGACATGTGAAGTATAGGTCACAACCAACGACCAGTCATCATTTTAGGCTGAAGATATGTAAAGTGTAGGTCACAACCAACCAGTCATCATTTTAGACTGAAGATATGTGAAGTATAGGTCACAACCAACAACCAGTCATCATTTTAGACTGAAGACATGTGAAGTATAGGTCACAACCAACAACCAGTCATCATTTTAGGCTGAAGATATGTAAAGTGTAGGTCACAACCAACCAGTCATCATTTTAGGCTTAAAACGTGTAAAGAATAGGTCACAACCAACACCAACAACCAGTTATCATTTCAGAATGAAGACATCTGAAGTATAGGTTATTTATTTTTCATAAATGTTTCACAAGTGACTGCAAAGCCAACATCTGCTGGTCAAAACATGATCAGTTGTTTGTGTCTTGCCACACTTGGTCATCTGCTGGTCAAAACATGATCAGTTGTTTGTGTCGTGCCACACTTGGTCATCTGCTGGTCAAAACATGATCAGTTGTTTCTGTCGTGCCACACTTGGTCATCTGCTGGTCAAAACATGATCAGTTGTTTGTGTCTTGCCACACTTGGTCATCTGCTGGTCAAAACATGATCAGTTGTTTGTGTCGTGCCACACTTGGTCATCTGCTGGTCAAAACATGATCAGTTGTTTGTGTCTTGCCACACTTGGTCATCTGCTGGTCAAAACATGATCAGTTGTTTGTGTCTTGCCACACTTGGTCATCTGCTGGTCAATATATGATCAGTTGTTTGTGTCTTGCCACACTTGGTCATCTGCTGGTCAAAACATGATCAGTTGTTTGTGCCTTGCTACACTTGGTCATCTGCTGGTCAAAACATGATCAGTTGTTTGTGTCTTGCCACACTTGGTCATCTGCTGGTCAAAACATGATCAGTTGTTTGTGTCTTGCCACACTTGGTCATCTGTCATTTATGCTACCTTTGGAGTGTTTTTCTATCAGCTTTCATAGAATATGTTGAGCTAAGAACTGACACCACAGCATTTGGGACATTCCCCTAACCGCTCCATCCTTATCTTCAGCAGTCAGCTTTATTTGAACATGTTTTCTAGAGGTTTAATTGTATTTAGACTAGGACCTTTTTTTATAATCTAAATTTACCCTATTTAATTAAAGTTTAGACAACAAAAATGTTCAGTTAATGAGGGCACAAACAACATGTTGACAACTACAGATGTGTTTGCAGTCAGTTGTGCAATCTGTTGTCAGATGTGTTGCAGTCAGTTGTGCAATCTGTTGTCAGATGTGTTTGCAGTCAGTTGTGCAATCTGTTGCTTGTGACCTCATCCCTGTATGTCAGAACATCAACATTTTATCATTCAATAAATTTGTATTTGCGAATTTCCAGAATCACCTGTGAAACAGGGGAGGCCCCTGAAGAACTCTCGGCCCCAGTGACAGTCAGTATCCATGATCCGAGCTACCCACCTGGTCGTCCCTACCAAGTTAACGGCCAGCAGAATTCTTCATATCCCTTCTGTTTTAAGGTACGATGGTGCAGTATTAAAGTTATAGTAGACATGTTCTACATTGTGCAGATGGTGCAGTATTAAAGTTATAGTAGACATGTTCTACATTGTGCAGATGGTGCAGTATTAAAGTTATAGTAGACATGTTCTACATTGTGCAGATGGTGCAGTATTAAAGTTATAGTAGACATGTTCTACATTGTGCAGAGGGTGCAGTATTAAAGTTATAGTAAACATGTTCTACATTGTGCAGACGGTGTATTGTTATAGTAAACATGTTCTACATTGTGCAGATGGTGAAGTATTAAAGTTATAGTAGACATGGTCTGCATTGTGCAGATGGTGTGATATTAAAGTTATAGTAGACATGTTCTACATTGTGCAAAAAGTTACTGAACATTGTATCAATATCGAGTGCCAGCAGAAGGATTCCTTCAATATACAAACAGAAACAGTCATGCTTTCAAAGAAAATAGATTGCAGCAAAATTTAAATTACAAAAGAAGGGAAAGTGCTTAACCAGTTTATAAATTCAAATATTTGAGGAAATCTTGACATCATTTAGAAGAAGCATGACATTAACAGCAAGAAAGACCAAACAAAAGCTGCATTCTGTAGGGTAGGATCTCATGAAACAGGTCACTCACACTGAATGACATAAATTGGTAGACAGACTTTTGTTCTGCAGCATGGTAGAAAGTATTAGAATGGAGAGAGCAAATTAGGAAGAGATTAGAGGTGTGATTTTTAACCCTACCAGACCTAAGGCCCTGAACCTAACTGTCCCTATAACCTGAGCTCCTGGGCATTACTGCGAAAAAACTAACATGATATACAAAAATATTAGTTACATGCAAACGAGTGGCTAGAATATGATGAAACTTGGAGACATAGTAGAAAATAGGCTTACCTTTTATCTAGCGCGAATATTCCACCTTTGTGTGCGAATTCACTCATCAGGATCAACTTTGTTTCACAGAGTGAACACCAGATGTAGCCGTTTGATGAACACACTCTCTCCTCCTACTAACGATCTATTTCAAGATTGATAATTTTCAAGATTGTCCTCATCATTCGCGCTGTCACTGACAGTGTCACTTCAAGAACGTATTCTTTATGAAATTATCACAGATAATTAATATATATATATCTTTATGAAATTATCACAGATAATTAATATATATATATATATATATATATATATATATATATATATATATATATATATATATATATATATATATATATATATATATATATATATATATATATATATATATATATATATATATATATATATATATATATATATATATATATATATATATATATATATATATATATATATATATATATATATATATATATATATATCACAGAGTCTGAATAAACCAAAGTATCGATCACCTGTTGAACTGTGAAAAGCCTAGAACTTGGTTCATCAGCCGCTCGCTTCATTCTGAATTTTCCGAATTTTTTTTTCACGTAAAACACACAAAATTGATTCACACACATGGGGAAGCCATTTGCAATGTCTAATAAAGCGGACTAACGACGAATGGTTGGTTATTTTTAGTCAGTGACGCATCTTCCTCATGCACTATGCAAATAGCCGTAAATTAGGGCCAGCAGTATAGAGAACAGTTATGAAATTCCCGGAAAACCGGGCCAGCGGTCTGGTAGGGTTAAGATGAAAGTTGAAATGTTTGACAGCCAAAGCAAATAACATGGATTGCCCAGAAAATAGTGGAACCTCATGGGCACCTATAAGGAAGATTTGATTTAATTTGATTCAAGAACTGACATCACAGCACTAAGGGCATTCCCATAAGCACTCCGTCCCCACCTTCAGCAGCCAGTGAAAAGTTCCGATGCTAATGGTGCCAGTAGCATTCTGATTAAACGTCCAACTTGCCTTTCCTCTGAGTCTCGAGCATCTGCCAGAACCTCTCGTCACTCCCCCCCCTCCCCCCGCATCAATCTTACCAGATTGTGGTGATCCATCTGCTCCTTCGAACTGTACACGCTCTACCACAAGACACTAACCACATCTGCCCTATCATGTATCAGTATTCCACCAAGTTGTGCAGAGCCAGCCAGTCTGTCCGCCTGTTCATTTCCCAACACACCGGCGTTCCCCGGTGAAAAAATCCAGACAATACTCCTCACCCGTGTCCTCCGCAGCGAAGCATTCCACTCTGCATGAAACATACCTGTTCTGATCTTCCTCAGCATGCTTTCTGAGTCAGTTACAATCATGATGTGTGTGTGTGTATCATGTTCTCTAGCCAGCGGAAAGCTGCAGTGACCGCCTCCACCTCCATTCTTAAGCTGGATGTTGTGGTATCATATGCTAGGCTCTCCTGCACCAAACCTCGACCATTAACTTTTGCTAAGAAGCCCCAAGCACTTCTTTTGCCTCTTGACACTGAACCGTCTGTGTAAATAATCAAATCCTGGATTTTTTTTATTTTTTTTTTTTCACTTAGAACATCAAAGTTCGCAGCTTCTTTCCAACACGAGGGCCCCAGTCAGGGGGCACAAACATCACCATCAGGGGAAAACACTTGGATATAGGATCATCCATTTCAGTAAATGTGTCCGGCATTCCTTGCAACCCTGTCAGGTGTGTATGATATTTATTGTTACCCAGTCAGATATCCTGTAACCTGATCTCTGTCTGCTTAGGCATTCTCTTTTCCTACGATATATTTTATTTATTAACATCTTTTTTCTTTCATTTTATTGTTTAGTTTTTATTTCCCCTTCAGAATTGTTCTTGGAAAGATTTACACTTACTGACCGAAGGAGCCACTGCTTGAATGAAAATGCCAGAAAACGTGTTCAACGATATAGGTTCACAGTTACGTTAGGGCACCCAACTGTTTTGAAGCAGTGTATATTTCCATTTGTGTGTATAATGTTTAGCATGTTAAACACAGAGTTTAATGAATATAATGTTTAAACGTGTTAAACACAGAGTTTAATGGGTATAATGTTTAAACATGTTAAACACAGAGTGTAGTGAGTATAATGTTTAGCATGTTAAACACAGAGTGTAGTGAGTATAATGTTTAGCATGTTAAACACAGAGTGTAGTGGGTATAATGTTTAGCATGTTAAACACAGAGTGTAGTGGGTATAATGTTTACCATGTTAAACACAGAGTGTAGTGGGTATAATGTTTAGCATGTTAAACACAGAGTGTAGTGGGTATAATGTTTAGCATGTTAAACACAGAGTGTAGTGGGTATAATGTTTAGCATGTTAAACACAGAGTGTATGAGTATAATGATTAGCATGTTAAACACAGAGTGTAATGAGTATAATGTTTAGCATGTTAAACACAGAGTGTAGTGAGTATAATGTTTAGCATGTTAAACACAGAGTGTAGTGAGTATAATGTTTAGCATGTTAAACACAGAGTGTATGAGTATAATGATTAGCATGTTAAACACAGAGTGAAGTGGGTAGGACATCTGAGGTGACAAACAGAGGGACACTTTGTTTTAAAGCATCCCAAAGTTCATGTTAAACATAATATGGAAACTGAGCACATACATACAGCACATGTTTTTCTTTTTGTGTGTGTGTGAAACAGTGAAGATGTCTTAGGAGTAACCAGGGAATGACAGTAAACTAGTAAAGCTTTCATGAGAATAAACTATGAATTTAAACATGACAGTAAACTAGTAAAGCTTTCATGAGAATAAACTATGAATTTAAACATGACAGTAAACTAGTAAAGTTTTCATGAGAATAAACTATGAATTTAAACATGACAGTAAACTAGTAAAGCTTTCATGAGAATAAACTATGAATTTAAACATGACAGTAAACTAGTAAAGTTTTCATGAGAATAAACTATGAATTTAAACATGACAGTAAACTAGTAAAGTTTTCATGAGAATAAACTATGAATTTAAACATGACAGTAAACTAGTAAAGCTTTTGTGAGAATAAACTATGAATTTAAACATGACAGTAAACTAGTAAAGTTTTCATGAGAATAAGCTATGAATTTAAACATGACAGTAAACTGGTAAAGCTTTCATGTAATAAACTATGAATTTAAACATGACAGTAAACAAGTAAAGTTTTCATGAGAATAAACTATGAATTTAAACTTGGTACCATAAAATTGTAAGCCTCTCTGGAGATTCTGTCACACCTGACACACCTGGTGACCATCTTGGTCCAAACACAACCCCAAACAAAAATGACATTGGCTGCCAGGTTGACGCAGCCTAAAATGGACACTAGGTAAAGTCCTGGAGTGTAAAGTCAGTTGGCATGATGTTTACCATATCAAGTGCTGATTGATCATTTGCCTGACACGTCACTGGTGTCGTAAGGGTCTTTTACTTGTTCTTGCTAAAATCAAGAGGATTTCAAAATACTACCTATAAATGATTGGAACTGTTTGAGGCAGTTATTTCAACATATGCAGTTGAAGAGTCAGTGTCATTTGTTAAAGAGGCAAGCAATCCCAGTGCTTGTATCATACCACATTGACACCATGCAGTTACATGACAGAGCGTGCAGACACCATGCAGTTACATGACAGAGCGTGGGATAATTACACCTGGCATCAAATAGGTTAATGCTACAGAATTATTGTAGACATCCCTGCGGATGGTCACCGAAGATATGAAGTTTGTGTGATGTGCTGTGCAGGTTGCTAGCATTTGTTTTGGGAAAGACTGAGCCATTTTGGCTAAATCTTTGTGCAGTGATGTTGATCTTCTTGGCATAAAACCTTTAAACTGTTGTTTTTTTCCTTTCAAGTTATAAGTTTGTTTCTAACTGCAGTATCTCTTCAAGTGAGCTCTCCTGCATCACTCAGAAATGGAGCGCTAAGTTTTCTAGAGCTGCCAGAGACACTTCTAGAATCAAAGGTCAAGGGGCAGTACTGGTGAGCATAGATAGAGCAACAGTGATGGCCATGGAGAATGGTGTACCCCTGCAGTTTTCCTACATGGCTGATCCAGTCATCAAAAACATCCTACCACAGAGATCTATTCTCAGGTAGGCCAACTTTCTCTGTCAGGCTCTGTGTTTCTTCATTACTCGTAACAACAGTTAAACCTTGTTAACACAAAATCACTTGAGAAGAACACTTGGGTAACATGAACAAAGTTTTGGTCTGCATTGGTGTATTAATTTGATTCCCAGTTAGCAGACTTTGTTGACACTAACTGTTTTGACTTTTTTATCACTTGGAATTCATGTAAATGAAGTTTTACTGTAGCATATTTATAGGTTTTCAGTCAAGAGAATTGCATTGCACATGCACACTGGCTGAAACAATCTGTGAAACAGACCCATGATCTTTAGAGCAGGGAATAACCAGCTTGGCCACAGAGTCTCCTGTTGCTGGTATGTTGCCAGGCCGGAGTCAGGGACAAAGCTGAGCTGTGTAAAAAGAGCACTGGTGTGAGATGTAGTCAAGGCAACAGTCTACCATGTCTCGCAGGCTCAACTGTGTCACTTTTTTTTCTTTACCGCAGTCACAGCGCTCTTGGCAAGTATCACTTACTTGATAGCATTCTGCTGTTGAGGTTTATTCTCATTTGATTCATTTGTTGCTGTAATGTTTGGATACTGTAATGCAGTTATTTCATAAGCTTTTCATTTGTTTTGGATTGTGTTTGGTTTCTCATCATTGTTTGCTGATGAAAGCTAGTTGCCCAAACATTAATTGTTTTTGTTCTGTAAAGCCAGCAAGTATGTAATTTATTTCTCAGTCTCTTGTATCCTGTCATCTGTAATTGTAAATCTTACTTTTAGCCGTAGCCTTCAACACAGACCTGGCCATTTATTTGCTTTCTACACAGTGTGTGGAAATGAGATATCTTTGTATATTCTCCCACAGTTTCATTCGCCATAAAATTTCAGAGAAATGGTAACTGTCCTAGAGCATTTTTCAGGGTGACTGGACAAGGAAGTCAGGAGACTACAAAACCACAAAGTGACAGACAGTATAAATAAAATCAAAAAGAAATTTTTGGATTTAAAAACATTCATTGTTAGGCTTCAGACAGGACACTGCAGTCTTGGAAAACACTTTTAAAAAATAGGCATAAAGGAATCTGCAGCCTGTGACTGATGCAAAGAGGCAGACTCTTGAGCGTGTACTGCAGAATTGCCCTGTCTACTTCCAGCAGGCTGAAGATCAAGCCTGAGGAAGCTACATAGTCAGACAAGCAATGAGAGACCAGCTGCAACCTTGTACACACAGTCTTGGTCATGACTCAGGGCAGGACACAATGTTTAGTTTAGCATTGTTGATTTTACATGCAGAAGAATACATTGTTGATAAAGCTTTAAGCATCTGCTTTGAGCTTCTGCAAATGAGGGAGCCCAAACAAAACATTTCTTTTAGATCTGTCTTCTCTAACCTTGACCTGTCTCCAGTCTGCTTGCACAGCATCAACTTGATCTCTCTCCTCCAGTCTGCTTGCACAGCATCAGCTTGACCTCTCTTTATCTGGTTGTTTGAGATTCCAAACATGGAAACAGGCATCAGGTCTGATTCAGTCTGTGTTTCAGGAGGTCTCATGAATGATCCTGGCGAGAAGGAATGACTTGTGTAGGAACTTGAGGTCACCCGGCTGTCAAGTTAAAATAATTAACAAAGCCTCAAAGACACTTGTAGAAAAGGAAGGTATTTTACTAAAGCAAAGAAATGTAGGAGACAGTTGAGGATAGATAAAGGATTAATTAGATTAAAGGTGAGAAGGTTGCACATTTTTTTTTTTTTTATATTCCACCAGGCTCAGTCACAGTGCAATGATCTCTGTTGCTGTACACGTGAACTCAGTGGTGTTGACCAGACCAATTAGAGGGCACAGTTATATGTGTTCTGCTGTACAGGTAGTTACAGAGGTGGGTCTGTGAACCTAAACAAGCATCACTGGTGATATGAGCATGTGGGGACAGTAAAGCTGCAGACACAGTTGGTGTGCTGTGTCAACACATTCAGATCTGTTGGCAGAGACAGCTCACATGTGGGTGTCCTAAAAGTACAATGAGTTTTTATTTTAGCTTGCAATTAGTCATCATATATAAGAGTATTTTATTTGTGGTTTTCAGTGGTGGGATCCCACTAACTGTCACTGGCAGTAACTTGGATGCATCAGTTACTCCCCAGTTGAGAGGAACATATGGTTCCAATAATGCAGATTTAGGCATCTCATCGGTAAGTGCTGTTTTCGACCAATTGGAGGTTGATTTTTTTTACATTTTGGTTATAAGTGTCTCGTGTCTCGGATGTGTGTTTAAACTCATCTTTAAGCCAATCTAACATTTGTGTCGATGCAAAGTTATACAAGTGTTTGAGGCAGAAAGCATGCAAACTGTCTGGCAGACACTGCGATTGCAGTGCTGAAAAGAATTGCTTTCATCAATGCCTTGCATGACACATATTGTGAAGACAGATATGACAAAAGGCAAGACTTGATGTCCTTGTTCAGGCTGGTGAAAATGTCACTTGGAGCTGCCAAATAATAGGGATGTCCACCAGGACCTGAACCCACTACCTTTGGATCGGCAGGCAGGCATCTAGCCACTACACTGTACTGTCTCCCACAGTGAAATGGGTTAAAACAAAAAAGGATCAAAGATCTAACCAGGCAGACATCAAGATGTGTTAGTATATAGCCTGGCTGTTTAATAGTTGGTGTCTGTTTAAGGGTTATGAATGCAGTTTTGTAACTCTGATACACTAGGTGTGATTCAGTGTCAGGTCATATGGCAGTGTTGATTTCAACTGAAATGAGTATCAGCCATTCAGAAACCAGTAACAAACTACAGAATATAAAATTACCTTAAGAAACCATCAAATGCTGGAGATGGTTTATTGGTTTAGTCTGTAGGAGAGGCACAAGGCAGGTGGGAGATCATCACTGTCAGTTGTCACTGTGGGAGATGATCAATGTAATGATGATGATGGAATAGATTCATGTCCTATATTTTACTGACTGCTTATTTCTTGGATCCGACAGCCTTGCCAGGTTGGTCCTGAAGGCACTCAGATGATATGCCCATCTTTGAATGTGTCTGGCGTCATCAAGAAACTGGACAAACCACCAGAGAGTGTCCGCATCTACTTCTGGTACGATGGCAACAAGGTTTACAGGGACTCTGTTACTGCAGGTGGGATGTTTGCCCTCTCTAGTATTTGATACTAGAGTCACCTCGACAAATGCACCATTAACATTAGGGAAGTGTTGCCACAGATAATTGTCTTAGAATGATTCTTGTACTTTGTTCTTTTTCTTCAGTCTTCCGACTCCTTTAGGTTCATTGCTGCAGGTATCGTCCAATTGCAGTCATCTCTGTGACTGGCCATTTCTTCTAGTTAGTGACTCCAAATGTTTGTAGTTCTGCCTGAATATTATTTCTCCGCTGTCCGCTGTCTTCATGGTCTGCCTTGTTGTCAACTACTAGGATTACAGTAATTCAGGTATTACTGCCACCTATAGTTGATTTAGTCATAAAATATTTGGATATTGCTACAACATATAGTTTATACATGGGTAGACAGGTTAGACGAGTGAGGTATTGAGTTCTTTCTCCACTTATCTTCATGATGCTTAAGGGAATCTCTGAGACTACTCAAGAAAAGCTGCTGTGACCTGAGTGGACTTCTGCTGTGTTTATTGTATCTATGGAATGGAACCAGACAACAGTGGCCAACATTTGGGGAAAGACTTTAATGCCTTCACCATTCTTACATTACATGATGATGGATAACATCGGATGAGAGATTTAGCCAGTAGATAACAAGAATATTAAGGGAAATCAACAGTTACAGTGAAATGAGTGCACTCTTTCAGTATTCACTGTTTCTCTATTTCCCTTGTGTTATTTGTCAGGAATTGAGTGCACTCATGCTGTATTTATTGTTTCTCTAGTTCCTCTATGTCATTTCCCATGATATGAGTGCACTTGTGAAGTATTCACTATCTCTCTATTTCCCCTGTATTATTTGCCAGGAAATAAGTGCCATCATGATGTATTTACTATTTCTCTAGTTCCCCTGTGTCATTTGCCGTGAAATAAGCACAATCTGGATGTATTCACTATCTCTCTATTTCCCCTCTATTATTTGCCAGGAAATAAGTGTAATTGTGATGTATTTACTATTTCTCTAGTTCCCCTGTGTCATTTGCCATAAAATAAGTACAATCATGATGTATTCACTATTTCTCTAGTTCCCCTGTGTCTTTGCCGTGAAATAAGTACAATCGTGATGTATTTACTATTTCTCTAGTTCCCCAGTGTCATTTGCCATGAAATAAGTGCAATCATGATGTATTTACTATTTCTCTATTCCTCCTGTGTTTTTGCCATGAAATAAGTGCAATCGTGATGTATTCACTGTTTCTTTAGTTACCCAGTGTCATTTTCCATGAAATAAGTGCAATCGTGATGTATTCACTTTTTCTCTAGTTCCCCTGTGTCATTTGCCATGAAATAAGAGCAATCATGATGTAACACTATTTTTCTTAGTTCCCCAGTGTCATTTGCCATGAAATAAGTGCAATCATGATGTATTTACTATTTCTCTAGTTTCCCTGTGTCATTTGCCATGAAATAAGTGCAATCATGATGTATTTACTTTTTCTCTAGTTCCCCTGTATCATTTGCCATGAAATAAGTGCAATCATGAAGTATTCACTATTTCTCTAGTTCCCCTGTGTCATTTGCCATGAAATAAGTGCAATCATGATGTATTTACTATTTCTCTAGTTCCCCTGTGTCATTTGCCATGAAATGAGTGCGCTTGTGATGTATTCACTGTTTCTCTATTGTCCCTATGTTATTTGCGTGAAATTGCACATGTTCACTCTCTCCATGTTATAGTCTGTTTGTCCCGTGATTGATTGCTGAATCTGTGCTGTATCAAACTGTGATTATGAACTCAGGAAGTACTTGTTTGTACTTGATTGCATTTATCTGGAATCCACAGGTAGCCTGTTTCTTCAATACTACCCAGACCCCGAATTTCTGCAGTTGCCTCAGATGGTCAGTGAGCACGACGTCAGTTCAGGCGAGATTGTCTTTTCAGTGAGTCGGGATAGATGTCTGCCTGTGTGTTACTTGAAAGGGTGAGGGGGGCAATAAGAGAAACTAACTGCAACATTGACTAGGGACACTTTTTTATGCATGCACTGGTGAGGCTGATAGCTGCTACAATGTAGCAGTTAGATGCTCACCTGTGGTTCTGAGGGTCATGGGTTCAATTCTAAAAGAAAGCAAACTTTTTTTCAAAATTAATTTGACTCCTAGGTTGACCCACAATGAATGGGTACCAGATAAAGTCATGGGATGTAAAGATGGTCAGCTTGGTGTTGACCACATCACCCAATGAGAGCTGATTGGTCTTTAAAATATAGGTCTAGCCCTGTTTGCCCAGTAAGCCTGAAGGCAAAGAAAATTTTCCTTTTACTGCAGGGACTATGATTTCTACTGTAGTGATTGTTTTCATTCTCTTCACTAAGGGACGCAATCTGGATTTTGGAGTGACTATACCAGACATCCACATCTCCATTGGAAGCAAGCCTTGCACTGTGACCTCCTTGACTAGCACAGAGCTCAAGTGTCAGCCTGATGTCAGTGGTCTTAAAGTCAATGAGAAAGAGAAGTACTCTGTCCAGGTAACATCTGTGTCTATGATTTCTGTTATTCTCCTATGTCTGGTATCACTTTGGTGAAAGCAGACTAACAGTGCTAGACATTAGTGTTTGGTAGCCACTGGTGTTTTGTAGACACTGGTGTTTGTTTAGCAGATACTGATGTTTGGTAGACACTGGTGTTTGGCAGATCCTGGTGTTTGGCAGACACTGAGGTTTGGTAGACACTGGTGTTTGGCAGATCCTGGTGTTTGGCAGACACTGATGTTTGGCAGACACTGATGTTTGGCAGATCCTGGTGTTTGGCAGACACTGATGTTTGGTAGACACTGGTGTTTGGCAGATCCTGGTGTTTGGCAGACACTGATGTTTGGCAGACACTGATGTTTGGCAGACACTGATTTTTGGCAGACACTGGTGTCTGTTCATTAAGTGTCTAACCTGTGGTCAAGTAGGTGGTTCTAAATTATTATGTTGTCATTTGTACTACTTTCCACAGCTCCTGTTGAGCATCAGTCCTGTTTCGATGTTGTAACATCAGAGGGCTATTGACCCTGCCCCTTTTGATACAAAGATCCCAGCACATGGAGGTTGGTGTCAGAGATGGTGAATTGTTTGTCCTGTCACTCATCCTGAGCTCCACAGCTGGGCTGTAGCAGTCGTTTGCCACCAGAACAGGTTTATCACTCACCCATGCCTTACCAGGGTGTATAAGGGAAGCACAACTTTAACCTGCCATACATGTCCTACAAAATGACAGAGAAGGATTGGCTTCAGACTTGCCACCCCATCTCATAGGAGTCTTTGACTGCAACATCCAACGAGTCATGGACAAGTCTATAAAGGTTTGTCATGCATAGGTTGAAAACCTGTACTCTTTTGGAAAATAAAGGCAGAAAATGAATGATTATTCAGTCATTGTGCCTTACATTCCTACAGTAGGTGTGATAAACAGTGTGACAAATGGGAAGTTCACTGGTACAAGGGACAGATGTGACAAATGGGAGGTTCACTGGTACAAGGCACAGATGTGACAAATGGGAGGTTCACTGGTACAAGGCACAGATGTGACAAATGGGAGGTTCACTGGTACAAGGGACAGATGTGACAAATGGGAGGTTCACTGGTACAAGGGACAGATGTGACAAATGGGAGGTTCACTGGTCCAAGGGAAAGATGTGACAAATGGGAGGTTCACGGGTCCAAGGGACAGATGTGACAAATGGGAGGTTCACTGGTACAAGGGACAGGTGTGACAAATGGGAGGTTCACTGGTACAAGGGACAGGTGTGACAAATGGGAGGTTCACTGGTCCAAGGGACAGGTGTGACAAATGGGAGGTTCACTGGTACAAGGGACAGGTGTGACAAATAGGAGGTTCACTGGTCCAAGGAGGCACAGGGAGAACAGGCATGGTGGATCAGCAGAGTTACACAGAAAACTATCAGTGACTGAACTGACTCAGAGCCTAGAAAACAAACATATGGTTACCAGTGCTTCTCGATCATGAAACTAAACTGTGTTAGACCCAGTATAACACTCAACTTCTCTGACCATGTGTTTTCTTCCATGCACATGATGATGCTAGTGTAACACTTGTCTGTCCTTATGTGTTCACACACACACATGATGATGATGCTAGTATAATACGTGTGTGCTCATGTTTTCAGATACAAGTGGGACACCTGGTCTTCAACAACTCTCAGATTGGGTATGTGGAGTTTGTCCAGCCAGCTCAGGCCGGCTCTCTGTCACCAGCATTCACAGCTTTAATCATCATCATCCTCTTGATTGTTGCAGCTGTCATTATTCTCCTTATCGTCATGAAGCGCCAACGCTGTGGATTTTTCAAGTGAGGTTCCTGTTCGTGCATAGATAATTTCTGTGCCTGTCCATGCCTGACCTCAGCTGTTGAGTGATGCTTAGTGCTGTTGTATAGATATTTTCTGTGCCTGTCCATGTCTGATCTCAGCTGTTGAGTGATGCTTGGTGCTGTTGTATAGATATTTTCTGTGCCTGTCCATGTCTGATCTCAGCTGTTGAGTGAAGCTTGGTGCTGTTGTATAGCTATTTTCTGTGCCTGTCCATGTCTGATCTCAGCTGTTGCTTGATGTCTGGTGCTGTTGTATAGCTATTTTCTGTGCCTGTCCATGTTTGATCTCAGCTGTTGAGTGATGCTTGGTGCTGTTGTATAGATATTTTCTGTGCCTGTCCATGTCTGATCTCAGCTGTTGAGTGATGTCTGGTGCTGTTGTATAGATATTTTCTGTGCCTGTCCATGTCTGATCTTAGTTGTTGAGTGATGTCTGGTGCTGTTGTATAGATATTTTCTGTGCCTGTCCATGTCTGATCTCAGCTGTTGAGTGAAGCCTGGTGCTGTTGTATAGCTATTTTCTGTGCCTGTCCATGTCTGATCTCAGCTGTTGAGTGATGCTTGGTGCTGTTGTATAGCTATTTTCTGTGCCTGTCCATGTCTGATCTCAGCTGTTGAGTGATGCTCGGTGCTGTTGTATAGATATTTTCTGTGCCTGTCCATGTCTGACCTCAGCTGTTGAGTGATACTTGGTGCTGTTGTATAGATATTTTCTGTGCCTGTCCATGTCTGACCTCAGCTGTTGAGTGAAGCTTGGTGCTGTTGTATAGATATTTTCTGTTCCTGTCCACGTCTGACCTCAGCTGTTGAGTGAAGCTTGGTGCTGTTGCATAGATATTTTCTGTGCCTGTCCATGTCTGACCTCAGCTGTTGAGTGATGTCCGGTGCTGCTGTATAGCTATTTTCTGTGCCTGTCCATGTCTGATCTCAGCTGTTGAGTGAAGCTTGGTGCTGTTGTATAGCTATTTTCTGTGCTAGTCCATTTGATCTCAGCTGTTGGGTTACCTACACATATAACTCCTTCATTTGGGTGTATTATGTCTTTACAGCTTTTGTTTTATTTTGGTATAATATCTCTCTCTGTCTCTCCCCCCACCCTTTTTCCCATTCTTCCTTCTTTATCCCTCTCTCCCCTTCCCCCCCCCCCCCTTTTCTCTTCCCCTTTCATTCCCCTTTTCTTTTTGCTTTTCTTTTTGATCTCCTTTCCTTCTGTTCCCTTGATTTTCTCCTCCCTCATTCTTGGCCTCGCTCCCTCTAGATTTGTATTTTACAGTGTTTATTGAGCCATGTTTATTTTGTCAGGGTCCGAGGCGAGTTTAGCTCAGTCCAGTACACTGCAGATCAGGATGCTGAACACAGCCTCATGCGCCCAGATGTTCAGCGCAATCACAACCTGGACAATGGTAGGTTCATGAAAAAGATCTCACAATAGTGCACCTGTTCCATAGGCAACCTGCATGGGTGACTGTAGGTTCATGGGTAAAGTCTCACAATATTGCACCTGCCAACACACTTTCCCACAGCAGTCACCACACCTTCACACTGCAGCCAACACATTCCAATCAACACATCTTCACGATGAAGTCAACACACCTTCACACTGCAGTCAACACACTCCAGTCAGCACACCTTCACACTGCAGTCAACACACTGCAGCCAACACACCTTCACACCAGCACACCTTCACACTGCAGCCATCACACCTTCACACTGCAGCCAGCACACCTTCACACTGCAGCCAGCACACCTTCACACTGCAGCCAGCACACCTTTACACTGCAGCCAGCACACCTTCACACTGCAGCCAGCACACCTTCACACTGCAGCCAGCACACCTTCACACTGCAGCCAGCACACCTTCACACTGCAGCCAGCACACCTTCACACTGCAGCCAGCACACCTTCACACTGCAGCCAGCACACCTTCACACTGCAGCCAGCACACCTTCACACTGCAGCCAGCACACCTTCACACTGCAGCCAGCACACCTTCACACTGCAGCCAGCACACCTTCACACTGCAGCCAGCACACCTTCACACTGCAGCCAACACTATGTTTTTGCTGACATGTCTTGTATTATTCGTGTGGTTGTGACATGTATTTTTCCTGTGGTTGTGATGTTTGCTGACATGTCTTGTATTATTCCTGTGGTTGTGATGTTTGCTGTCATGTCTTGTATTATTCCTGTGGTTGTGATGTTTGCTGACATGTCTTGTATTATTCCTGTGGTTGTGATGTTTGCTGTCATGTCTTGTATTATTCCTGTGGTTGTGATGTTTGCTGACATATCTTGTATTATTCATGTGTTTGTGATGTTTGCTGACATGTCTTGTTTCATTGCTGTGAAGATTACACTGAAGGAGGTGCCACCTACTACGGCTCAGGGGGTTACCGTGCACACATTGACGAGGAGACTCTGAACCTGATTGAGTCCGAGCATCTGCTGGTGGACAGGGAATGCCTGACATTGGCTGATGAGATTGGCAAAGGTGGGTGTGTCTGGGGCAAAGGTGGGTGTGTCTGGAGCAAAGGTGGGTGTGTCTGGGGCAAAGGTGGGTGTTTCTGGGGCAACGGTAGGTGTGTCTGGGGCAAAGGTAGGTGTGTCTGGGGCAAATGTGGGTGTGTCTGGGGCAAAGGTGGGTGTGTCTGGGGCAAATGTGGGTGTGTCTGGAGCAAAGGTGGGTGTGTCTGGGGCAAAGGTGGGTGTGTCTGGGGCAAAGGTGGGTGTGTCTGGGGCAAATGTGGGTGTGTCTGGGGCAAAGGTGGGTGTGTCTGGGGCAAGGGTGGGTGTGTCTGGGCAAAGGTGGGTATGTCTGGGGGCAAAGGTGGGTGTGTCTGGGGGAAGATGGGTGTGTCTGGCACCCATCGAAAGGAGGGGGCAATTGGTCTGTAAACATATCAGGCTAGCACCATATACTATGGTTGTACTAAGGTGTGGAAGCATACACGCACAGGTATAAATGAAATTTGTAGACTGAATCAGTTTCAGTCAGTGTTAACAAATCCCTATGTGGATTTCTAAACCCCATTGTGGTGGTGGGGGAGGGGGTGATTGACTCACTGCCCCCTTATAAGCATGTCGTAAAGAAAGATTAATTAGAGGTGTTTCTTTAGAATTTGCAGTGCATCAACAATCTGCATACAAATAAACCATATCTGAAGAGGAGAAATGCACATAAAACTCATATTCTGGAACAAGACCAGTGTCCAGAAGTGGAAAAACAACCAGAACTTTCTGTCAGTAGATGCAAAGAAGAAGAAGAAGAGAGTATTAACACTGTATCACTTGTCTTGCCTCAGCTTATTGAGAGTGAAAGTTCTTATTGGAAGTATGTGATTTGATCTAAAATCAACAATGAAAGGAGTCTTCATTGGAAGCAGGTGGATTGAGCTAAAATCAGTAATGAAAAGAGACTTTGTTGGAAGCATGTTGATTTAATTTCTTCTACCATAATTTAAAACATGTCCAGACATTTCTGGTAAATTGTGGGCCATGCACAGACACAAACAGTGGTCTATCACAACACATATAGTTCTTTCTTGGAGACACCACACAGATCAGGATTTGCTCTAGGGGAACACGTGGAGTGGACAAATGAAATCAGTTGGATTTCCCAGTTCTATTTTTTGTTTGGTAGCTCCTGTTTATGCTATGTTTTCTCTGTGTCTCTCACCCCCCCCCCCCCCCCCCCCCCCGCCCCCTTTTATTTTTTATTTTTATTTTGCCAATGCCGTCTATCTTTCTTTATGTCTGTATGTATGTATGTCTATCTGTCTGTCTGTCTAGCTATAGGCTGAGTAACAAGAATTGAAAGAAACTAGAGGACACACAAATATGGTTTCTTCCCCATAGAAATCCCATAGATCAGGGGTTCCATCGCATTTTACACCTTTTGTTAGTCAACCAGGACGCCGTGAAACATCGCCTGTTGTGACCTTTTACTTGGGTCTTTTGTTTAGATGCTCTTTTTTTTTTTTTATCCGTCTCTATAGTTTGTAACCAAGACTGCCAGTGATTTCTGAAATGAAAATTAGCGCTTAGACATCAGAATGTTGACCACCATTCAGGTCATCAACCAGGAGCTCTGTTCACTGAGGCAAATGAACATGGGACAGTGGAGTCCACCTCAACACCAGTCTGTCACCTGATGATGATGATTCTGTTAGCTGGCCAGCTTTCTTTATGATGATAAATGACATGTCACTTGTGATTTCCAGGCAACTTTGGCTGTGTCAGGAGAGGATTTCTCACTTTGCCAGAACAGAAAGGAGATATTCTTGTTGCTGTAAAAACTTTGCATGGTAGGCAGCTCTTGTGGTCTTTAGTCCCATGATGTGATTGGTATAGTTGTCAAATGGTTGTTAAATTGTTCTTTTGTGTTGTGTTGATTATTTATTTACCTCTGTCTGCCTCTCTATATTCCTCTAAATGTATTTCCATGTGCATCAATGAAACAGTAAAGTGTCATGGGGAAGAATTATTTGGCATTCAGTGCATGCTGGCTGCCACTGGCTGTTGTCATGCTGTGAAGACATTAGGTATCATTAAAGTTGATCCATATTTTTGCGGTTGTCCTCTTGCTTTTGTAGCTGATCCTCTGAGATGAAGTTCCTGTGATGGTATTTAATCTTGCTGTTTTATAACCAGATGGCTAGACCACTTCATTTGCTGTTTCTTCATGAATACAGTACAAGGTACTGTTTCCAAAGTCTTTCTGATAGTATCATTATTCACTCGATCCCGGATGGTTAATTTGGCGGCTTTTCTCAGGCATCCCATTTTGCAAGTGATGATTTTGCATACATGGGCTTGAAATAATGTCCATGTTTGGCACTGGTAGGTTAATTTTGGAATGAATATGCTATTTATAATCTAAAATAATTGTCTCTTTGCACTCATAGTTATGTTTGGATGTCTTAATAATGGTGGCAATTGGTATATAACGACACTTGCTTTCTGATATCTGGTTTCTACTTTTCTGTCTATTCTGTTTTATCCTGTGATCACAGTCTTTCGATATTTAAATTCCTTAACTTTATTCCGACTAGAACCATTCAGCACTATGTGAAGTGGGCAGGGGTTCTGTTTACATGTATTGCTTTGGTTTTGTTTGCATTGATCTTCAGGCTGTATTTACTGCATGCAGAGTTTAACCTGTTAGTGTGGTCTTACAGTCTAACTTCCTCACTGTAGAACAAGCCCTGGTCATCAGCAAATAGTAGTTCATTTAATGTGTGTGAGTCAGTTACATCATCTGATGTGTGTACTTCCTCATAATTATAATGATCTTTGTTGTCTGTATTAGAACTTGCATCTTTAGATATTCTATATATGTAAATGTTTAAAAAAAGTAGGGAGAGCACACATCCCATCTCACACCTGTGTTGACTGTGAACATATCTAGTAAGCCTTCTTGTGTTCTTACTGCACTTTGTCTTGTGTGGTACATAGCAATGATGTTCTCTAACAATGTAGTGCTTAAACTTATTTGTGATTGGTATCTAACCCCCACAGATAACAATCCTCGAGACATTGAACTTCAAAGTTTTCTCCAAGAAGCCCTGAGGATGAAGGACTTCAATCACCCCAATGTGCTGACCCTCATCGGAGTCTGTCTGGATCTGGATGCCATGCCCTTGGTGGTGTTGCCTTTCATGAAGCATGGTGACCTACTGACATACATAAGGGATGAGAAAAACGTCAGTCTTCTTTTTAAAACAAATTACTCTTGGTAATCTTAGTTTCCGCTTCATAGCAAATAGGTCACCCCATAGTTGCTGCGCTCCTGTGCCAACGAAAAACACACAGAATGTTCATCACAGTCCCTTGTCTCAGATATGCACTAGCATACACACACAGTAAGGTAGCCATCAGAAGTGCTAACACAAACAGTCCGACATTAGAAATGCAGTTCATCATCAACGGTAGTAGAAGTTCCCAACAGATCAGCAGTTGCACACACAATTAATTGTAATCACATAATGGCTTCACCAGTATTGCGACGACAGGCCACACGCCATTTTATCAGTCTACAATTCACACCACCACATTGGTCACAGCTGAAAAACATTCCAGATTAAATCTGCAGCTCATCTGTCGCGCCATGCACTCAACTCGGTAGCTGGGCAACAAAACTATATTCTTTTGGTCTACAAATGGAGCAAAAATGCAACAACCACAGTCTGGCAGAAGCAGAAAATATTTACCACGACTTAAAACGGTGACCATGCCTAGCGTCCATTTTGACCAGAAGTAACAAACAAATTACTCTGATTTCAAGAAGTGAGAAAAAAAAAGCACTATGTATACATACGTACATATGAGCACAGTAGGAACTATGTATCAACAGTCTTCTTCTTCTTCTTCTCTTCCACCTTGTACCTGATCAAAGTGTCGAGAGATGTAACATTTGTTGATGAGCTCTGTCAAAAGCACTATTAAGACTGATGTTCTTTTCTGTAAGGCTGTTCTTAATGCCATCACTCCATCTTTTCCAAGGTCTTCCACTCCCTTTATACCCGTTGTGACGTTTTAGCGTGGCTCGCTGTGGCAGATAGAACCAGGGCATTCTTTTTAGGTGTCCAAACCACTTCATTTGTTGTTCTTTGATGACCTGTAAGACTGGCTTTATTTCTAGCATTCATCTGATTTCGTAATTTCATATTCTTGTCTTTCCAATAGTCACATAACTAAATTTCACTGACTGTCAGCTGTGTCTTACTCATTGCTACATTTCATTCATTTCTGTATTTCACTTATTGTTATATTTCATTGCTGTATTTCAATCATTGCTACATTTCCCTCATTGCTATATATGATCAGTTACAAGTCACATTGTTACATACTACCAACTTTGTGCTCCATATTGCTAATTACGTTAACACATTTACATATGCGACAAGTCACATTTTTACATACTACCAACTATGTGCTCCATTTTGCTAATTACGTTAACACATTTACATATGCGGTGGGTGATCTAGTGAACACATTTATCTATGGGGTGGGTGATGTAGTGAACACATTTACATATGCTGTGGGTGATGTAGTGAACACATTCACATATGCTGTGGGTGATGTAGTGAACACATTTACATATGTTGGTGGTTGATGTAGTGAACACATTCACATATGTGGTGGGTGATCTAGTGAACACATTCACATATGCAGTGGGTTATGTAGTGAACACATTTACATATGCGGTGGGTGATGTAGTGAACACATTCACATATGAGGTGGGTGATGTAGTGAACACATTCACATATGCTGTGGGTGATGTAGTGAACACATTCACATATGTGGTGGGTGATGTAGTGAACACATTTACATATGTGGTGGGTGATGTAGTGAACACATTTACATATGTGGTGGGTGATGTAGTGAACACATTTACATATGTGGTGGGTGATGTAGTGAACACATTTACATATGTGGTGGGTGATGTAGTGAACACATTTACATATGTGGTGGGTGATGTAGTGAACACATTCACATATGCTGTGGGTGATATAGTGAACACATTCACATATGCTGTGGGTGATGTAGTGAACACATTCACATATGCTGTGGGTGATGTAGTGAACACATTCACATATGTGGTGGGTGATGTAGTGAACACATTTACATATGTGGTGGGTGATGTAGTGAACACATTTACATATGTTGGTGGGTTATGTAGTGAACACATTTACATATGTGGTGGGTGATGTAGTGAACACATTTACATATGTTGGTGGGTGATGTAGTGAACACATTTACATATGTGGTGGGTGATGTAGTGAACACATTCACATATGCGGTGGGTGATGTAGTGAACACATTCACATATGCGGTGGGTGATATAGTGAACACATTCACATATGTGGTGGGTGATGTAGTGAACACATTTACATATGCTGTGGGTGATGTAGTGAACACATTCACATATGCTGTGGGTGATGTAGTGAACACATTCACATATGCTGGTGGGTGATGTAGTGAACACATTCACATATGTGGTGGGTGATGTAGTGAACACATTTACATATGCGGTGGGTGATCTAGTGAACACATTCACATATGCTGTGGGTGATGTAGTGAACACATTCACATATGCTGTGGGTGATGTAGTGAACACATTCACATCTGTGGTGGGTGATGTAGTGAACACATTCACATATGTGGTGGGTGATGTAGTAAACACATTCACATCTGTGGTGGGTGATGTAGTGAACACATTCACATCTGTGGTGGGTGATGCAGTGAACACATTCACATATGTGGTGGGTGATCTAGTGAACACATTCACATATGTGGTGGGTGATCTAGTGAACACATTCACATATACGGTGGGTGATCTAGTGAACACATTCACATATGTGGTGGGTGATCTAGTGAACACATTCACATATGTGGTGGGTGATCTAGTGAACACATTCACATATGCGGTGGGTGATCTAGTGAACACATTCACATATGTGGTGGGTGATCTAGTGAACACATTCACATATGTGGTGGGTGATCTAGTGAACACATTTACATATGCTGTGGGTGATGTAGTGAACACATTTACATATGCTGTGGGTGATGTAGTGAACACATTTACATATATGGTGGGTGATGTAGTGAACACATTCACATATGTGGTGGGTGATGTAGTGAACATATTTACACATGTGGTGGGTGATGTAGTGAACACATTTACATGTGTGGTGGGTGATCTAGTGAAGACATTTACATGTGTGGCGGGTGATCTAGTGAACACATTTACATGTGTGGTGGGTGATCTAGTGAACACATTTACATGTGTGGTGGGTGATCTAGTGAACACATTCACATATGTGGTGGGTGATGTAGTGAACACATTCACATATGCGGTGGTTGATGTAGTGAACATATTTACATATGTGGTGGGTGATGTAGTGAACACATTCACGTATGTGGTGGGTGATGTAGTGAACACATTCACATATGTGGTGGGTGATGTAGTGAACACATTTACATGTGTGGTGGGTGATCTAGTGAACACATTTACATATGTGGTGGGTGATGTAGTGAACACATTTACATATGTTGGTGGGTGATGTAGTGAACACATTCACATATGCTGTGGGTGATGTAGTGAACACATTCACATATGTTGGTGGGTGATGTAGTGAACACATTCACATATGTGGTGGGTGATGTAGTGAACACATTCACATATGCGGTGGGTGATGTAGTGAACATATTTACATATGTGGTGGGTGATGTAGTGAACACATTCACATATGCTTTGGGTGATGTAGTGAACACATTCACATATGCGGTGGGTGATGTAGTG